GCCTCTCCTTGTGTGTTTCCGTGCCGCAGTACAACTCGTCTCGGCCGAGGGAGGAGTGGGAGATGTGGCACCCGACGCTGATCGCCGAGGCGCTGTTCGCCATCGCCAACATCTTCAGCTCGCTCAGGCTCATCTCGCTGTTCACGGCCAACTCCCACCTCGGCCCGCTGCAGATCTCTCTGGGCCGGATGCTGCTGGACATCCTCAAGTTCCTCTTCATCTACTGCCTGGTAAGACGCTCGCGGACCAGACCGACAGCAGTTATGTCGTCTGGACTGAAACTCCTGCAGTCATCTCTTATTCCTGTTAAATAACAGATGACAAATAAAATCACTGACAAACGTATTAATGGACATTTTGAGTGTTAAAAACCACAAAAAAAAATTCTTATATGACAGCGTTTACATTTAAATCAGCAAAAACAAATATTATTTTTGCAGATATTTGTGGTTATTTGAGGAAAAAATTAAGTATATTTCAGATTAAAAACAGACATAATAAAAGTGAAATCTGTATTTTTACAAATTTGTTCTTATAAATAATGTGAATTTAAAATTGTGCTATTTTTTACTGTATTTAAACGACCAAAATAAAACTATTTCTGCAGATATTTGTGGTTATTTGAAAGAAAAATGTGAGTATATTAAGAATTTAAAACAGCAGATGTGTTTTTAACCTGTTGTTTTACAGATTGTGTTAAATTACAGACATTATATATAAATATTATTTTAAACAGTGATTTGTTCTTAAAGTCAAACTGTTTTTACTTTTTTTCCAGAAAAACTTTATTATTTCCCAGGTAATTGTGGGTATTTAAACACAAAATAAGCACAAACTGAGGATTAATCGTGATTTTGCAGATTGTGTTTGTTTTATTAAATTACAGACAACAAAAGAAAATAAAACCATCACGCGACCTGTTTGTACTGGTCTGACGGTGCAGCTCCACGGCGGGATGTTTGCGGAGCTGCGATCGATGAAAGCAGCGCTGCAGCTCGCATTTATCACCGGAATGCAAACAGGGCTGATTTTATTTAATTAAACTGCTGCTGGACGAGATTCAGCTGCAGGTGGTTTTAATCTGCTGACGGTTGCTCCGTCGTCCGTCACAGGCTGCAGAAACAACGTTTATAGAACATATCGACAGTTATCGTCTCTCGTTCCTGTCACGGTTGTTCTTCTTCCATCATCCTCAACAGACATCAGCCTGAAAAGCATCTTATGGCTTTTCAAAAGAAAGAAACAGTAAATGCAGAAAGACTTGTTGGATTTTCAGTTTTCCGACGGTCCCTGAACTACTCACGCCGTTCCATCAGCAGAGTTTAACGAATCCAGGATTAAGATTGGGATGTTTCATCACAATGTAGATCCTCCAGGTGACCCTCAGGCCTGCTTTTGTTCAGTTTTTGACAGAAACGACCCAAAATGAGCCGAATGAATAAATAAACAAACCAAACGCTGGAGAAAACTAGAATATTCTGCACTTCTCTTTGGACCTGGGAGAAATATTAGACATGTTGGTTCCAGTGGGTTTTTTATTTTTGTAAAACATATAATCATTGAAATTCAACTTCAGTTTTGTCTTTTATACTGTATAATTTCTGACTGTTTCTCCTTCTTCATGGTGGTTCTGATTCTGGACTTTATAGACTTAATGAACTGACTTTCTGGACTTTGTGGAGCGAGAGCAGATTTGGGTTCAGAGGTTTGATGCTAAACGTTAGCTCTGACTTCCAGGCTTCGGTGTGTCGCTGCTGTTTGACTGACCGACGCCGGCGCCGCTCATGGACCTGCTTCGGTTTTCTGTCCTCCGTGGACGGTTGCCGGTGCAGAATCAGCGTCCGGCGGCATGTCCTCGGCAGGACGCCGGCCCGAGACGCCCTCCTTTGTTTGCTCTGCACCCGTTTGAAGGTGATGAAAGAGGCTCAGTGCAGCAGAAGGACGCTACGGGCCTGTTTCATTACACCCGGCCTCATTAGTTCCTCCCCGGGGGAATCCTAGCCGACAACACAATCCTCCTGTGGATCCGACCGCTCCCTGCGGTCCTAAAACCAATCCCAGCTTTACGTAACACGGCTCCTGTTGGTTCTGTCCCGGTTAAGATCAAAGCTGCTTCTCAAAGCGCCTCAAGGAGCACAAGGTCAAACCGACAAGCAGACCCAGCTCTGTTAGCAGCTCTGTTAGTGGCTCTGTTAGCAGCTCTGTTAGTGGCTCTGTTAGCAGCTCTGTTAGCATCTCTGTTAGCAGCTCTGTTAGCAGCTCTGTTAATGGCTCCGTTAGCAGCTCTGTTGGCGACTGGGTTAGCGGCTCTGTTAGCATCTCTGTTAGCACCTCTGTTAGCATCTCTGTTAGCACCTCTGTTAGCGGCTCTGTTGGCGGCT